GAGCTGCCACGCTCGGTGCCCGGGTACCCTCCGGCTGCTGCACGTAGCATCCATCGCCCAGCGCCCGGCTCGGGCGGAAGCCGAGCCCGTCAGCCCGCGATACCAACCTGCCATACCGAGCTCCCCGGCCCGCCCGGGCTGCCGAGAGCCCCCGCAGCCCCGCGCCGCTCCCCAAGGGCACGGCGCTCCCCACTCACCGTCCCCCACAGCCATCATGCCCGCCGGTGCCGCGGGAGGGCGGGCGCGGCGGGTCCCGGCCGGATTCCTGCCGGCTCCCTGCCGCTGCAGCCGCCGCCTCGCTTCAAAATAGCAGTCCCGCCTTGCGAGGCAGCCTCCGCGCCGGCCCGGCCCCGGCCCGGCCCCCCGGGCGCTCCGCCCCCGCCGTCACGGCCCGCCGCGTCCCCCCGCCGCCGGGGACAGCCCACAGCCCCGGGGACAGCCCACAGCCCCGGGGGAAGCTCTGCCCCCCACCACCACCACGGAACATGAAACCAGAGGAGGAGAAGGAGCCTCGGTAAAGAACGAGCGCTCTGCGGAACAGAGATCAACCAAAACGTAACGTAACACGAAATGAAACAAAGCAATAAAGACACAGGAAGTAGGAAAGGGCTCCGTGAAGAAAGCTGCTGCCTCTTTTTTGAGTTTTCGGAAGACTTCTTTGGAACCCCCCTGCACCTTTGAAAGAGAAACTCCTTCCAAAGCATGTGTGCAACACACGCTGGGGAGCATCAGTGACAGCCTGCCCAGACCTGAGCTGCTGATCAGAGTTTGTACCTGAATGTACCTTTTGGGTGACATGCTGAGAGTTGACAGTGCAATCCAACAGAGTGATCAAAAAAAAAGAATAGCAAGTAAGTAGTACCAATTTACTTAGTCTTGCCAAAAGAAAAGTTTAAAACTCAGGCAGACTGCAGCATATGCTGTTGCACAGAGCATGAGAACCACGCATTTGCAAGGAGCCAGACACAGTTCCCTGTAGTGACAACCAAAAAACTCAGTCAAATTCCTTAAAAACCAGTGGAAGTATCGGCCTGATGAGGCCCTTTTCCTCCACATGGGCTTGAACTGACCAGTACACTTCACTGGTCAGTAAATTTTCCTGTTTAAAATGATAAGCCATCAGGAAAGAGCAGCTGAAATGGAAAATGATGTGGGTTACATTTTGACCGCTTGCAATGAGCACACCAAAGGAATACATGCAGCTCCAAACCTCTATAAAATAATCACAGCAGCTATCACCAGTATTCCCAAACGATATATATTCATGTTGTGCTGCACTGGTGAGCTCTATTAAGAGTATGTCGTCACTGTCTCCATAGTAACTATATTTCCAAATAGAAAACAGCAAATGGAAATAAAAAACAATAGTGTAATGTGGAAAAACAGATACACACTAGTGCTATGGATTTTTATTTGCCCCTTTTTTTTCCAGGTGAACACGTATTTCAGCTATATCTTTATCACCCATAACACAGCTCCCCTACACCATGATACTAACATCACACATCCTACCTGTCATATTTTGTGTTTGTAAAGCCAGTCCTTTGAGCCATTAAATATTAAAATGGAAAAAGTGCATGGGTTGAACAGAGATGTATGATTTATCTTCAGCCCAATCATTCTGCTGAGTGCAGCAGGGAGCTCAGTATTAATAGTTTCCCTACTTTTGTTTTAATTCCCTGTCTCAATAATGACACTACTATCCAATAGAGGAGTCTGCTTGAATTCTCTTAAAGAAAACAGTATTTACAAATCTCAGGCAGCAGAAACAAGTGCTTTTGTAGTGCTGAGATTGGCTGCCAGTTCTGTTTCCATAGAAATGAACATTCACTTGCTGAAAAGTGGGGGGGGGCTTTAAAGAATCTTCTCCAGTTTGGAAGGCTACATATAGTTCTCGTACAGTGAAAGGGCAAAACTAGCAACACGTGTAAGATATTGCTTAACAGGCAAACATCCTGATATGATTCTTTTAATATGCAACATTATGAATGTAAATAAATCCCAAGGTTTGCCTAGCAGCTCATTCATTCATTCATTCATTCATGTAATTCATATTAAATAAATGATCTCTGATTTTACTATACACATCTTAGAGTAAAAAATAAAAAATCAATGGTCAGCTGGAGAGGCAAGCTAGCAGTGGGATATTATTTAAGGGTGTATGCCACTCTCATCAAGCAAAAGCACTAAGATTCCTACCCAGTTCCCTTGTTAGACATGGCACCTCCTCCTCATGTGTTGGCTTTTGAAACTCCTTTTTACATCCCACCCCAATTGTTCCATCCATAAGTGGTTGAATGTGCCTTCCACCCACCTTGTCTACCCTTGAGGAGGATCTCTCAGTCCCTAACAGTAACTCATTCTCCCCCGCTCTTTACCATTCCATCAGAGACCAGATTCAATAAAGGAAAGAGGCAACATAAGACTGAAGGGACTCTTCTCACTAGATCCCCTCCAGCACACTGAAAAAGTAAGATATTACATCTACCAGTGTGCTAAGACGGCAGGAAGGAGACTTTTTCCTGTCCTACCTGTACTTCTCCCACATACCTAAGCATACCAACATGATGTCTTTTAAAACTCTCAAGTATTAGATCAGTATTTTTAAAAATATATATTTGTTTTGACTATTAATAAAGTATGGAAAACGTTTTTGTAATCAGGTTGTTCAAAACTGCAAGCTTTGACTCTTTATTCCTTTTTTTCTTCCTAAGTACATGCTGGATAAAAAGACTGAACAACTGACGTTAGTATTATTTGATGAGAGAATCCTAAGTCACATCTCTGCATTCTCAGAAACTAGGTCAACACACCAAATATTCACTACCACAGCAGTGCAACTCAGGGCTATGAAGAAGATGACATCTTCTGAGGTTGTATTAACAACTTTGTCCCTATCCATCACACACTGAACAGGACCCCCATCAGTACAGTTGCCCTACTTGGGACAGTAACTCCACCTGGCAAAAAAGCCATTCCATTTGCTGTCCTTTGGTGTTAGGAAGGCCCATTAAACTATGAAGTTTAATGATATTAAAGCCAGTTGAAGTGGTTTAGTGTTTTCCACCCTGCCTCTGCCTCCCCCCATTTGGGAAAGACAACCCTATTCACCCCCTACCATCCCAAACCCTACTACAAAATATACAAAGCACAAAAAAAAAAAAAAATCCTCAACACTGTAACAGATGTATTTAGTCACTAAAATTTGGCCTTTATCCAGAGATGTTTGATAAAGCCCCTGAAAGAAAAGTTGGAACCAAGGCCACAGGAATTCAACAGTAACTTTAAATCTACACGTGCAAGCAGTAAATACAAATTGTCCTTCAGAGAATAATGAAGCACAAAGCCAAGATAAAGCACTAACAGTGGAAGAATACCTTTCAATAACATTGAAAAACTGCCTAGATGGAAGCAACAGATGAACTAGGTTCAAGCAAAAACACTGAAACCAATGTATTAAGAGGGATTCTGTCATTTATGGTACCAAAACAGGATCACAGTAACTTTTGCATAGAAATTGCTACCCACAAGACAAATACATGGTTTATACTGTCATAGATCAGCATCAATATCTGTGTTTTGCACATGAGATAAAAATAGCTTCAAAATAAACTTTCTCAACTCTCTTAAATGGAGACAAAAAGGACAGAAGTGCTATGTTAACTACTCCAGCAATATGGTATATATATTTTTATGTATTTAAATAATTTCAATGCTTATATTCCCCTTTGTGACTTTCTCTGTTCTCCTGAGAACTACTGACAGAAAAAATACACATGTAAAATGCATCTCTGAATCTCTCAAACTTATGAAACCTACGCAGCTGTATTAATATGCAAAAGGTAATGGTTCACCCTTTCATAATGAGTAAGTTTACAATATAACAGAACATAAACATTTACATTTTTATGTAAACATTCTTACCCAAATTAGAATGCTGTGGGTTTTTTAAAAAAATATAAATTTTTACAAATCAATTTTTAAGTGTTCAAGAATAGCAATGCTTTATTTCAAAGCAAAATGCAGCATGAAAACTCTTGCTATGTCAAGGAACAGGTTACAAAACCACTTTCCTTTGAACCTACAGTCACTTCTGTTTTCACACTAACAAGAAAAGGGTGAGAAAATTTAAAATTAAAAAGGTATATTTGAGTACATTAAGGAATTATATACATTCCTCAAAATATTTCTACTCTTGAACAATTACACTTTTTAGATACAGCAGACCATAATCAACATAGTTACTTCCAAAGACAATATGAGGAAACTTCCTAATAAAACAAGATGTATTGATTCCTTGCAGAAGACAATGAGGCTTCCAAAACTGACTGTGCTAACGCCACTGCCAAGGCACCTCCTTTGTTTTGCTGTTATGTAACACTTTTTTCATAATTTACAGTTTTAAATTAAATTTTCATACTAAAAAATACGGTAGCAATAAAGCAGTAAGAAGCAACAGGGATTTTCTGTATAACTGGTTGTCTTTTCCTGAAATACACCAAAATAAGGAGCTCAAGCTCAGTGAAGTTTTAACTTCAACAATTAAGTTGTCTTTGAATGCTGCAGTCTCCTATTTCTGTAATTTAAAACACCCTGTATTATAATCATGATACATCATTTTAACAGAGAAAGTATCACACATACCCATCACTAAAGTACATTTTCTCTTAGAAACATACTAAGGATAAAGGTTCATCTGATCTTTTTTCCCATACATGAACACTTTGCAGCATTCTTCTATCCTCTACTGAGCACATCTGTAACTCGTTAAATATTCACTGCTTGTTTCCATGCAGTTTCAACACCTTTTCCAATTGTATTCTGACCACAATCCCACAAATAGTTCCACTAAAGTGTACAAGCTTGTTTCACCAAGTGTCTCATTTTCTTAGCATTTACATGTTGCTATTCATCCATTTCACACTGATAATGCTAGTATTTAAAAACTTATCTTGCATTAATCTAAAGCTGATTATAAATATATGATCTTTCATACTCACCACTGACGTTACTTAAAATCATATTGTCAGAGTTTCTTATTTCATCAAATTTTGCAAAGATTGTTTGCAACCTATGAAGAACAAAAACAACAAAGGATTTTTACATCTCTGAAATCCCACCGGCTACTGGTAAAAACAGAAATTAGTTTATTAGCATATATAAAGCAGCAATGCAAAATATACAAGGGATTAAGTATATGAAGAAACAATTCCTAAAGGATTCCTCTTTAGCTGAGCATCTTCACAGAAATGCATAGAAAACAAAGCAAACTTAGCAAAGAACAAAAATTGAGTATTGTTATGAGCATGATTAAAAATAACCTATAGTTCAGGTTCAGTAATAGCACATATTGGGTATATATAGTCTACATATATATTTATTCATACTCAACAATAAAAGCTTACAATTTGAACTATGGAATGTTCACTTAGAAGAAAAAGAGTTGCTATTTAATTTGTTCTAAGACTATTAATACTTTTCTTCAAAGTTTTTGTTCCACAAAATTTCCTCAGTCTGGTTATGAAAAGAGCTCTGTGCTAGTTAGCACTTCCACAGGGAAAAAAATGCCAAACAACAAGACTTTCTTCTAAACTTAAGATACCCTAAACACTTAGATGAGTCCAACCCACACACCACTGATTTTAACTGCCAGAACAGAGAATACACTGCAAATGCTTTGCTACATGGAAACAGCAAACAGACCAACAAAACTCAGAATAAACCAAACCAAAAAACTCTACAATCCTACATTTGCAATTTAGTCCCACAGGGCAAAAATGGTGTTCAATCAAGAAAGCTGGCAAAACACTTCAACAGCCCTTTCTCATCACTTCTGCAGAAAACTCAATAAAAGCAGTGGAAGTATCTCCCAGAAAAATGTGACCCACACATTAACAACAGATTTGTACTGACACTGTTCAGCTGCAAACAATTGAGAATATTTTCTTGTATTTCTCCAAAGACTTCTCTGAATTTTAGACTACTTGGAATATGGTAATATGTAACATGCACAAGGGACTTTTAGCTCCAGGACTATCAGGAGTGAATCCTGATTTTAAATGAACAAAGTTATGAACTAAAAATCACATGACAGTCTGCAGGTCTCCAAAAAGGTACAGTTCAGCTACATCAGAAGAACCAGAGACTATACTACCTGATTCAAAATTTGCACTGATAGGCTGTCTTTACAATTCACAATCCAAACTGTTTTATGACAAAACAAGAAAAATGGGTAAGAACTACACCTGGGTATGAAAATTCTGACAAGGAAAAAAGTCAAGGACACACAAAGATTTCACTTCAGCATTTAATTATGCACACACCACTTTTATGCAATGATCCATGCAGAGAGGCAGTGCCCTTAGTCTACATTCTCTGAGACTTGCATATCCCTTTCACTCACTGGGACCTCATTTATCTAATAAACCTCATTTACCTAATAATGAAGAATGTGATAAAAAAATGAAATGCAGACAGACAATACCATAAAAAATTTGAGCCTTCCGCTGCACCTTTCCAACAATTTAGGACTCTCACAATGCATTATTTTTATTTATTTAAGTCAATAACCCCTAACACAAACCAGCAGTTATTCTACCATCTCAACTTATCTCAAAACTAGATGTAGCTCAGTAGTAGTTTGCCTAATCTTTCCCTAGCAAACTCACCAGCTTGTGTCTGGAACCTATTATCCCCTCTCTTTTGCACCACCATTGCATTTCCAACCAGTGCTGCCACAGCAAAATGTCTGAAACGGCAGCAATTCACAAATGTCACTGCTTTACTATTAAACCTCAAGTTTTGAAAAGACCAGTTTTGCAAACTAAAGACAGTATATACTGAAATGGGGTTTTCTGCACTTCGACTTGAAAAAGTAAACCTTTTGAAATGAAATGTTTTTGGGGTACTGGAATTTAGTAATGACACATGAAATCCCATTAACATGCTATGTGCTTTCAACCGTACCAAGCGAGGAGTTCACACGAGAATCAATATCTATAACAATGCATTAGGCCATCTTGCTTTCATAACAAGAAGTTAATGTGTTTGCCTCATAAGTGTGTTTATCAGAGATTGTTGTGAGTTCCCCTCATCAGTGCTGGATTCCACAGCAAACACTGCATTAGCAGTTCACCTAGTTACTGAGGAAGACTTAACAGTATATCTGAAAGGCTAAAACTGTCATCCCAAGAGAAACTAAATATGAAGAGAGATTAACAGATTTGCCTTAAAATTTCACTTTGATTTTTACATCCTGTAAAGCTGATGTTATCCACTTGGCACAAATATTTTAGAGAAGTCAAAAGAAAAAAAAATATTTCCTGCTCTTTTGAACTTTGTTTTCAAAAATGCTTTCCTGAGTATTTTAAACAGAAGCTAAAAGCAAAATGCTTCCTTGTAAATATGTTACAATAATATACATGTTGCCTCTCACTCTGGGCAGGCAAAATATTTGATAAAGTATTAACTATAAACAATTTAAAAAAATGTGTTTGTCAGCAGTGGATGCTACATTGTCAGTGTTGCAGGCTGGAGAACAACACACAGTACTGCCACTCCTCACACTCTCAAAGCATGTCGTTATGACCAGAGACACACTCTGCAGTATTTGTCATAATTGCAACAACAACAGAAGAGCCAATTATAACACAGCTGTCAACATGGTAAAGCACTACTGTAGAACCAACCCTCTCTTTAGAAGAGCTTACAGGATCTGTAACTACTACTTTGCAAAGTCTCTCACAACAAATTTCTCCCTCCCTCTCCTCCCAACCTGCTCTTCTTACTACCTTCCTCTCTCATTTCTTCACATGGTGACAAGCAGCAAGGCAGTATGGGCTAGAGTCTCTAAAATTATTGCAACCACCATCAATTTAAGAATGTTTACAGGAGGTTCAGCTCCTGGCAAACGAGAGCCTGCCAAGAGGAGTCCAAGAAATTCTACAGAGCTGGATGAAGACCAGTTTTACTGGCAATAAGGAAGGTTCTTTGAGAAAGGAAGCATTATTACTCCTTCACCTCATATCTTCAAGCCCAACTCTGGATGTGGCAATCATAATCAACCACTGAAGTCACCACATGTCACTGGTGGACAGAAATACTATCTCCTTTTCCCAGATAGCCATAGACAGGTCTTCCTCAACTTCTCATATAGATGAGAAAATTCCCATTGACAAAAACCACATTTGGTACAGCAGGTAGTTCTGGATGAGCTGTCAGTGAATGAATGAATGAATGCATGAAGTTTTAGCACTTTAAATGGGGGCTCCTGGCAACCTGCCAAACCCTCTCCTCCAGCAGGCAACGGGTCTCAATCAAAATATCATCAATCATACTGCGGTGAGGATGGGCAACAGGAGGAATACACATGTACCCTTGCTAGGACACAGCTTGAGCTGACATGCACACACATGGAAACATGGATGCTTCCACAGAATGTGCACAACATTTCACACTAAAAAGCTGTTTTTCATGACCATGCTTGCTGCAGTTCAACTGTTCATATGATGGGCAGAGGGGGTACCTAACAGCGTGGACCTTTTGGTGAAGAGGCAAAAGAGCACCACTCCGCTATCAACAGAAGAAGGATAAAGAAGAACGGATGGTGAACTAGTCTGTTGTTTATGTCCAAACTGAGTCTAAAGCAGGAAATGGCCCATATGAAACTCTGCAGTTGTTTTTCCATATTTCCCCCTTCCAAGGGAAAAAAAAAAAAAAAGATCTTGAAGACGTGTGTCCACATCTGGACACACAGATGGACCTCATCTACAACTTGAACTAGACAGATAAGTAGAATGTGCATACCACATAAAATGTGGTATTCAGAAACGCATACTGCAATATGCTTCAACATTTTAGGAAATGAAGTTTGGCCCTAGACATGGGAACTAAACAAATGACTGGTTTTTTGCATTTCTGTTTCTCAAGCAACAGTGGGGAAATTTGTCAGAGGAATTCCTCAATGATAAAAGCTTTTAACACTCAGACTAAGTAACTGCTATCCAGAGCCACATATACTATTTCCATTCAGGGAAGATCAGCCACACAGATTCCATACTGTAAAACATTCAGTTTGGCCCATAGAGAACAAAACCTCTTCAGTATTTTTGGCTCACTGAGCAGTAAATATAACATCCATTTTCAGTATTCACAAATATATTAGCACTACTGCTTTCAGGTCTGACACCAAAGACTGTCAAACCTCTCTGGCAGCAATTATAACAAAAGGGAAAACAACATCCAAATTTCCAACCACTGACTTTACACTGATTTTTCTGGGAAAACAAAGCGCTTCAAGCAAAAAGCATAATAATAATCTGAGATTTCTAAGTTAAAAAGTAACAAATAGAAAGAGGAACTCACTGATTTTATTTATAAACAAACTCACCAATTAATCTCAGTAAAGAAGAGAAATGCACTGAAGAAAAATAAATAATAAATAAGTCGAATTGAACTACAAAAGTAAGATCCCATATTTTATTCATTACTTAGATTCCGACAGGTCCAGTAAAGCCCTGCAGAAAATCCAGGATTCTCCACAAAGGCAAACCCTACCAGGTGCAGATTAGAAAACCTTTTAAGCCTACTATTAATAAAGTACTGACTGCATTTGGCTTTATACAGACACAACATGTATATACCATTTGCATATTTAAGGAAGTTGAACAATTTCTCAAAACAATGCTTGATTAACTTTCCTGCCTTCCTTTCAGCAGACAGGAGCTCTTATTTTCCAGTGCTCTAGGATGGAGTGCATTCAAGCAGCAACACACAGCTCTGTAATGTGTAATTTGTTATGCAAACAAAACAAGCCTACATTCTATTGATTCATGTGTGCACCAAACACTAAAGTAATAGATTTTTCTGCTAATATTTATGTTTACATGTATCTTTTAATGCACTGACTTACAGCAAAGGAGCTGCAATGCAGTTCTTCAAGGCTGAACTCAACAACTGAAAGCAGCCGTGTCTGAACTACAGATTATCTGTAATACTTAAAACCCTTAAAACCAACCCAGACACACACACATGAACACAGATTCCCCTCAAAATAATGATGATACTCTACATCAAAGGCGTTTTTTTCCTGTATGCAGATCATAGCTCCTGCATAACCACCTGAAAATTTTACTGTATCTAAGCAAAGGGAAAACCTCTGACAGGCACAGGGGAAGAAATGTCTTAAATGAGGTCTGCCTCTGAAGGAACAACAGTCTGAGCTACCACAGAGCTAATCTGTCTTTCCTGAGCTTTGTCAAACGCCTTCTTAGTTGTGTGAAGGAGTAAGACAGGACTACAGGAACTCTGCTTTCTGTCAGAGATGGATGGGACAGAGAGTAGCAGTCTCACGTTTAACTCAAGCAAAATATAACTCCCCCCTTTATCCCAACCTGAAACCTACTGCAGAGGACACAGCACTGACACTCTCAGCTCGTGTACTATTTAACACTAGTCCTGACTGTCAGGTTGGAGATTTAGTGGCAACAACCCATTTAACATGCACCAAGTAGAGTCTTGCTTCTTTATGTAAATGCAAATTATACAACCATGCTTGCTTTCAGATCAGGGGGAATTTTGTATTCAGCTGATTCAGACAGTAGAAACAACAACTTGGCACCTACTGCAACTAAATTAGAAGCTGTTGATTGTCCTAAGGATACAAAGCACCTATGGTGTTTAATCCTATTTGGATCCCAAGATGTACTCAGCTTGTATCACATGGAATTGTAAATGGTGAGGAACTTAAACTTACAGTCAGACCCAACGTTCATTGCAAAAAGGTTGTGATACCTGCACTCTTTAATTCTCTGTTCCAAAAGATGTCCAAGGCCCGATCTTAATGCAAGAAAGCAAGAAAGATCTTCTTGGATATGTTCCACTGATTTGCTAGGAAACTTAATTTTTTGAATTTTAGTAATAATATGGCCTAACTTCTGTGGTAATCATATAATCCATTACTAGTCTAAAAACAAGACTATCATTAAATAGAAGAGAATGTGTGCAACTTCTCATTCTCATAGGGAGTGTAAACTTGTCTCTCAACAGGCTGAACTCTACGTGGAATAAGAAACAATAAATTCAACATCCTTCTTCCATGGCACTTCTTCTTTCATAGAACTGTAGAATGGTTTTGGATCATCCAGTTCCAACCCCTCTGTCATGGGCTGGGATAACCTTTCATTAGACAAGGCTACTCAAAGCCCCATCCAACCTCACCTTGAACACTCCCAGGGACAGGGCAGTCACAACTTCTCTGGGCAGCCAGTTTCAGCGTCTCACCATCCTCACAGAAAAGAATTTCTAATTACTAATATCAAACCTAAACCTATCCTCTTCCAGTTTAAAGCCCTTGATGCTGGTCCTATCACATCATTGTAACAAGTCCCTCTCCAGCTCTCCTTACACCCTATTTAGGTATTGGAAAGTGCTCTGAAGTCTCCTAAGAACCTTCTCTTAGGAGAGTTAAGTTTTAGCTCTTAGTTTAGTTTCTTAGATGGGTCTGATAAGGCACTCATCTGATACTCTCTCTGAAACCAAGTAGTAGACATATTCAGCTTTATCAAAAAGAAGTGAGATGGAGGTGATGGTAAAGTGGTATGCTAATATCTAAGGGGTTAACACATTTTAGGAAGTATAAAATGTCTTAACAATGAATTTTAAAGACTTTATGGAATAAACAGTCTTTCTTACGAAGTGCAATTTCAAGCTCTGTCTAACTTTCTTAATTAATCAAAGGTAGAAACAAAACAATGTTTTGTTTCATATAAACTAATATAATACTAATAATAACAACAACAAATTTTCGTTCATATAAACTAATCAACACAACACAATCAGGAACTCTAGTAACATCATACTGAAAGGCAAAACTAACTAGAATATAGAATAAAAACTACAGCAATTTTAAAACACAGTTTTTAGTGAGTTTAAAGTTCAGATAAAAAACAGTAAAACATAAATGGCTCAGAATTACAAAATCAGAACAGCTAGCTCACCTTCCAGGAGGAATTCCTCTTTTTGTAAGATCTATTCGTACTTTCTCTCCCACATGTCTATAAACCTCTACAATGGCTAGTATGGCAGCATCTCTCACCTGTGAACAGTTTAAATTGTTAATTTCAGGGTTATAGAAACCAAAACAACATTTGCTGACAGGCCACTCATCTTACAGTTTCTATGGCCCTGTATGCCAATTCAGTTGAAACAGTGAGGGTGAAAAGGAAAGGAAATACAACTGTTATATGAAGATGGTATGTTCCAAGTTAGAGAGCATGTCCAGATGGTAAAAAATCCTAGAAATAACAGCTTTAGAGGGAATTTCTGGATCTGACATAAGAATAGCATTTGTGGAAAAAATGTGCTTTATCTAGGACTCGCTCACAGCAGGCAATACTTTCAAAAGTTAGCTCCTGCACTCAGTCTTGACATTTCATCTTGCTTTCATCTGTTTTGACACACAGCAAGGTCCTTCTGGAAGACTAAGACTGCCCACAAGAGTGGACCAAAGTGATCAGCATTTTCTTTATTTATTTCAACTGGAATCAGGTGGCATGACATCAGCACAAGAAAGGGAATAGGGCAGGAGAGTGGAAGGGGAAAGAACAGAGGAAAGAAAGGAGATAGAGTGCCTCTTCAAAAATTTTAAACCATGGTCATCACAATAAAAACTGCCAAAAATGCATTTTAGTAAATGCCATTATTCACTATAAAGAATGTCTGGAATTAATTTAGTATTGTTCTTTGCAGCAGTTCAAACTAAACATACAATTGCTCTAGCAAGATGTGAACTACATCTTTACTAACGATCAGCAAACAGGACAAATTCTCAACAGAATTCCTCTAGAACAGAACAGTGCTACGCAGCACAGGGGAGATAAGAACTTTGCTGCATTCAGAAATTAAGTATAAAGACCAATCCTGTTTAAAAGTCCATCTCCTACCAATGTTATCTTCTCTCTTATTATATTCATAGTCTTTTCCTCAAACACAACTTCAGATAAATCAAGATATTTTAACTGTTTCCACCGGAAGATTTTCTGAAGTTCAGACGTCACCATTATGAACTACTTCCTGATTTTCACTGCAGATGTTTTTGCTTACTTTAATGATTTTAATGACAGTCCTTGTTCTTAAATACCATTTGGGTTCCAATCGGAAAATAATTATACATAATGTTAACTTCAGCAAATTCAGCAAACTAGCGCAGGTTTCATATAAGGGCTGCTTCTGGAGGTAATTTTTTGTGTCAATAGCTTACTTTTTTATTTATTTCCTTTCAGCATGCTCTGTAAGAAACAATTACTTTCAGCAATTACTAGTTTCAACTTCTGAGGACAAAACTAAAGGGACCAGTATATCGTGATATTGCTGCCTTTGCAACTCTACTTGGATCTTCCAGTGAATGGACTGATTAAGAAGAAATTGGGCTTGCTTTTTCTCATGGTAGAAAATAATGATCTGCTGCACACAAGGACTCTTATCGGCTTTTCTTTCAATACTTATATTTATTTTGCTTTCACTGCTCTGTCAAAGTATAGTTGTTCAAGGCCCAGTAAGTACTGAAATCCTTACCTGACTGTTGGAGTCACCAAATGCTATACACAGATGTGGTACCAACTTGCTGAGGATTAATGGCTGCGCACCGTAACTAAAAAAAAAAAAAAAGAGGAGTGTTTTTTAAGAAAAAAACAGAAAATTATTTTTGCAGAAGTGAACTTTTGGCTTAGATTTCATAGAATACAAACTGACATCAATCAAGCTCTGTCCCTCTCTTACTAGTTCTTTATCTACGTTTAAATAAGGTAAAATTTCTGTAGCTTTAGTCTTTCTTTCAGAAAGCCCACTACTTGTTTGATTTTTCCCATATATTAATTTAATTGAAGCAGACTCCCTAAAGGATTACTTTCAGAGAAAAATGATATTCAGAAGGATAGAACCGTTACATCTCCATAGAAACAAAAAGCTTACATGTTTAAGGTAGCAACAAGACACAAACACACTCCTTCTCGGGATCGGTAATTCTTGTGTTTAAAACCAACAGCAAGGCGTTCCCAAATGTACTATAAAAGCAGAAATAATGGTCTTTAATTACCAGGAGCACAATACAACATAATTCTATTCCATATAATTACATTCATAATAGTTGCAAAAAAAAATAACAGGCAGGTCAACTGGAAAAGTGATAAAATTAACTTATGAAATGCACAATATGGAACACAACACAGATTAATTCTACACCAAAACCAATTCCTAAAAAAAAAGTCCTTCAGCAATCTAGCTGAGTATTTTCCTTGTTTAACAAACAGCTCTTAAAACATATAGAATTGTTACAGTTAATGCACACAAAACAAACATTAACATTACAAACTACTGACTCAAGCAGAAGTTACTATATTCTTTTTGCTTCATAATCTGTTTCCCTGCCAAAATTTCCTCACATCCATTTTAGGTTGTCCTTATCCCTCCTCCTGCTGTCCCACTTCTCCCTTACTTTTGCTTTAGATCTATTTTTTCATTTTTTGATTATTTTCTTGCCCTCTCGTTCTAATTCCTGCGCTTCCATTTTTGCTCTGCTTTCGGTTCTCCTCTCCGTGCTGGCGCCGCTTCCTGTGGTACGATCCCCGGGCTCGCTGAACCCTCGCTCACCTCCTTGCGCACTCGTTTTCCTCTGCCCGCCCTGGCTCTCTGCCTGCTGCCTTTATCCCCTCACCTTTCCATCTCCTTGCCGTGCTCTAGCCGTGTATCAGGGTGTTGGAAGCACAAAGGTGGAGCAGAGGAGCTGGGGGATTCTCCCTGGGAGCAGATGCACGGGCTCAGCCTGCAGCTCGCCCCAGCTGCAGCGCTGCCATTGCAGCCCGGCCAGCATCCGGGCAGCGTTGCCTAGCGATGGATGGCTGCACACTGCCAGGAGCTGCACACTTTGCAGCCCAGGCACCTCCCTCCCGCCAACTGCACCCCGGAGTGCTGCAACTGCAACCTATAATGACGCCACACAAAGCTGCTAAAATGTATTACATACTAATTATTGCAATCGGCTTTCTGGAAAAAAAAAAAAAATAAAGCCTTCCCAAACAGCTGTTGATCAACAGAAACAGAGCATAAGAGCAGGGAATATGCACCCTCTTTATTAATGAGGTAGCACGCTTCAGAGCAGACATAAAATTTTCCAATTAGTGCCCTGCTTAATAATTTTGTCCCATCTGTGTTTTTTGTTTGTTTGTTTTATACTTCATTGCATTTAGAGAAAACAAACCTTAGATGAGCAGGATATGGCTTGCCAAAACTGCATAGCTTAAAAACAAAGAACAGGATTTTATGGAAGAAAACATCCTTCCAATTAACCCACTGTCACGGACAAACGTGGGAAAAAGGAAATCTCATTGCTGGATGTGTAAAAATACAGGTAGAGAGGGAACTTCAGACTACTGAAATAAAGCAGACAAAAGAGAAATTTTGTCTTTCACTGAATTATTCCTTAAGAGCTAAATTTTTTTAAGCACAGAAATTCAAATGGCTGCTTAGAAATTTTAACTCTTGCAAGTTCCTAGCAAGAGTTGATGTAAACCTCTCTTTGCCCCTTTCATGCACATTTATACCACCTATATTTTTATGCCTTCCTGCCCATAAACAGCTACATCTATTTCTTGCTCATAAACTAAATAAAAAACCCCCAAACATCTAAAACAAGTAAAGGGATTTAACGACAGGACAAATTAAATATTATTCAACAACATTCTAGAAGAGGCAAGTTGACTAGAAAGACATTTACAGGACTTATCTTCAAACAATTATTCCATTCAGCTCTTCTAAAGGGATGCTTCACTACAGCAGAGAGCCTAAAGCTCTGTATTTCAGTGTTGGAGGCACAGGAAAGACTTTGCTGTTTTGGTCCCTGCTGCGAGGATGATTGATGCTTTTCATCCAAAGTTGTAATGACCCATAAGCTCTCCTGAGAGCAGACAACCACAGTGAGGCTTCTCCCACCCTGGGGGAGCTACCAGGAGAGCCAGACCTTGTCTTAAACACACATGCTCTTCCTTGGACCCTACAAACCTCATGCATTCTGACACAGCATCATCTTCACAGGGGATGGAAACTTCCTTCCATCACCTCTATGTACAGCCTAACAACTCTGCACAAAGATTGAACAACAATGTACAACTTTCCTGACAAGGGTTTAGCACAAAGCAACTACCATCAATTTCTTTATCAGCAACTGAAGGTATCTCCAAGGTGCTCTGCTGTGCACTTGTCCAAATGCTGTTGCTGTGGAGGTGCTGGTCTGTATGCCAGGTATTTGGGAGCATTTTGGGCACAGTAACATGTCATTTATGAACTGCTGGCACTTTGACACAAAAAAATACTGCCAGGTCTTTTGGTCAATGAATATGACTGACACTGCAGCTTGTGAATAGATAAAGGAAGGCCTTTGTGGATGATATTACTAGACCCTAATGCCTAAATCCCAACCAGACCTGTAGCCAAAGGGAGATAAACATGTTCTGTAATAGCCTAGCATGCTACACGTTTTAACCGACAAACAAAGCAACTGACAATAATTTTCTCACTCCAGATAAAGTCCACAACATCTTATTCACTGCATACAAACATTCAAACTTGAATCTTTGAATAGACAAAGCCAGGAATTAGCACATACAAAAACCCTTTTTTTTCCCTATTGACCACTAGAATTAGAACTCAGAGTTTCCTCAGGAATTAAAAACTCAAATAGTAAGTTCTTATTCACATCCAGGGTCTCACATCACTATTCAAGAATATAATCTTGTTAAACAATCCTCCATTTTTCAGACTTGCAGAGTCAAGATATAAGATTAAGCACTCAGAAGCCACATAATGCTTAGAACTGAAGGTTGAGTTAAGCAACCCTCCTTACAACCAAAAATGACAAGCCAAAGGGCAACTTATCCCCACCTCAGTTTATCCATGGTTCACAGAGCATCATTGTCATACAGCTAGAAGGCCAGGTTCTCTTAAATTAGAAAATGTGCACCTTAACTGTAGGACTAGTCCTTCATGTTCAAGTACAAATCTAATTTTAAATAAATTTGGAGCTATTTAAACTTGTTTATTCCCACTGTCCAAACCCAGAAAATCCTTTAATTAACAAAGCCCTGTCACATGCCATAAAAACATCTACTCAGAATTAAGCTATGATGTGCAAAATATGCAGAATCACATCATGCCAAGATTTTTATCTTTAGCTGAACAATACATCAGTGTCAATCCATTAAGAGTATCTTTAACATTTACACCATTAACAGTGGCAATAACATTGTGACATGTTCAGAGTTCATACAAAAGTCATAAGCTCACTGGAGGCTTCCATCTGAATCTGCATTAAGCAATCATACCATGGGTGGTGCTGCTTCACTCATCAGTTTCAATATAAGATTCTGTGCTTGCTCTCGAACTTGGTCTTTGGCATCTCCCATACGATCTATCAAAGCCAGGAGAACTACAGAAAGACAGGGAAAAAAAGAGAAAATAAAAAAATATTAAACACCCAATGGAGATTTTCTAATGCTTAAAGGTATTTTTTTGAAACAGATGTAATATACATGTCATTCGAAAATAAAAGATGAGTTTAAGTAGGCCACAATATTTTAAAGCCTCAAGTGCATTTCTCAGTATTTTATAAGACTAACAACAAATGCATAAGACTGAAATGGAAGAAAATAGTAACTTTCAACAGGTTAAAAAGAAACCAAGACTCCCATCTTCAAAACTGTGTGAATGACTTGCATTTCATCTTCAAAAATGTTCCAGTTAGCTTCAGAATGTCTGGCTTTTCTAAAAAATAATGCTAGGCATGGTGAGTGGCAAACAATTGGAATAGAAGTATACAACTATTTTAAAATCAGTGTGACTTTACTGTTTATTTTAAGAAAATCGAAAGTTCTAAATCCCTTTATTCACACAGTGTATCTTCAGGAAATCCAGCCTTACTTCAGTACAAGCAGTTAAAAATTGCTCTGTTAAAACAAGCATCCTCAAACAATATTTAAGGAAAATTGCACGACAGCTGATGATTTCACACCCTAAAAATAAGTAAAAATCAAAATCAAGGGACTTGCCAATTCTTTTTGTTTGCTTTTCCAGACAGAAGTTTATAATTAGATAAATCAGATAAATTAATGCTATGACATTAGGAAAGATATCCCAATGAACACATAGCCAGCTCCATGCTGTGCAAGACACGCTGCTGTACTGGTTCCCAATCCTCCATCTGTGACCAACCCTTTGTGAGATTCTTCCCCCCAGTGCTTTCAGTACCACTTCTTCTAAATGAGGGGTGATGATACCGAGTGTGCTGCTTTCCTTCAGGAAGCACAACTGATGGAGTTGGTGGAATTGGTGGAGATGTCATCCCTCACAGGACAGTGATGTAAGGTACTCCAAGTAAAAAAAAAAAGAACATCTTCACAGCTAAATAACTTTTTGCTACATTTGGTACATCACTGAACACCTGAGAATATTTTGCAGTTACTGCCTGACCTCAACAGACTGCTAAAGAATTTCTACTCACTAAACAAATAACTGTATTTGGCTATTGTTTGAAAGGCAGATCTGAAGTAATTTTACCAGTACTTAATCATATTATAGTAATAAGCAAACAATAGATTTGCCAGCAAAATAAAGGGAAGAGAGTCATACATTCTGAGGAGGTTCCCAGAGTCCCCTGTTCCTACATCAAAACAGCAGCCACGATTATTCCAACTGCTGAAGTTGGAATTTCCCCCCCCTGCGATACCTGAAGGCTTTCTTAGTGTCCTAATCTGAGTATTTAATTCTACTGGTTCTGGATAGTCCACTGACATCTTCAGCCACCATTACCAAGGTTTTGTGCTTTTCATCTATCTTCTCTACCCTTTCTCCTCTGAAGAAATTAGTACAGCTACTTTTGTTTTACAGTTTGAAAAGAAGAGTTTGGGGGTTTTTTGTTTGGGTTGGATTGCCATTGTTTTGATAGTGTGAGACTTTGTCTTTATGGTTTGGGCTTTTAAGGAGTGTTTCTGTTTTGTGTGGTGGTTGGGTTTGGTTTTGGGGTTTTTCCCCATTTTGTGAACAGAGAAAAAAGTCCAGACTTTAAGAAGTTATTTTTGGGAGTACACAGCTGACCACTCCCATGAACTTCCAATCACTCATATTACACATCACTGATTACATTTTCCTTGCCAACAGTACTTTCTGTGTCCATTTCCAACACTTCTGAACTGACCCTGTCCCCATGCCTTACAGTACTAGTGATGTCTCTACACTGACCTGACTGCTGGGCAGCTGAAGGCAATTCTGGCTTTTACAGAGAAGGAAACAAACACAGCCAGTGCCAGTTCTGCGGGAACACGGCTCCTTTGTGACTAATTAGCACTCTGAGTCATTTGATGGAGCTGCAGATACCAGGGCTCTGCTCAAATCACCAAGACAAGCACAGAGAACAGCTAGGAGAAGCTGCTGAACAGAGATGAGGTCACTGAGTTAAACTAAGCCATGACACATCCCCCAGATTTCAGTGTGTGCAGCTACTGAACACAGCAGCCTTTGCCACTCCTGGAGCTCTGACAGAGGGACAACATGCTGTGGGAGCTTTTAAAGGGCCCCAAAGGCTGCAGGCTTGGCTTTTTTCCCCTAAAAGCTCAAGTTTCTGTAAGACCCCTTAAAAGGCATGATACATTCTATTTGCACAAGACAAAAGAAATTACACTGTTGAATGCTGGCAACCACCAGCTGGTTTCCAGTGTGGTTGTTCATCTTCTCTGTCAGAATAAGCTCCAACAGGAAATCATTGGAAGTTGGGTTTCCTATTGATCAAGTTTCAAAACAGAACATCATTTTGGCTGCTACTTTTCCTTTAAGATGTACAAGCTTTCTCACCAGCATTACTGAATTAGTGTCTCTCATTATACTGCAATGCAAATACATGCATTTGGTTTTTCCTGGCATGAGCCTGCAAACTCAACAATCTGAAACAGATGTCAGAATTAAAAGAAGGGTGACAAAGAAGAAGTAGGACCATACATGAAGACTGTATTCAATATGGCAGCCTCCTAACAAATTACTCAATGAGGTGTATAATTTGTCACATGCAGTCTGGACTGAACAATCCTACTGCTTTATATTAACCTTATCCATCTTTTATCTTCTGTTGCCTAGATTCTTAAATTATTTCAAATGGATTTTAGAAAACCTAATAACATAAGACATCTTTCTATTATTTATTTCTGCTGATATGCAGAAAAAAACTACAGTAAATTTAGGAGACTGATTCCTTTTGCAGCTGTTGTTTATTTTTTGTGAAGCACTATTTCATTCAACTTGCCTTTTCACCACATTTTAGCATGTTGTCAAAGTTTCTTACCACTTCCAGCCACTCCTGAGGTTTTCCTGTTAAGATTTCTACATTGCAGAAATCTCATTCTCCCAAGGATTTCCTGCTAAGATTTCTACATCACAATTTTACAGGTTTTGATTACTGAACAAAACCTAAAAGTGTTAGCAAAATATTCCACAGCAGACATAAATTCTACCAGATCTACCTCAAACTGACCAGCTATTTCATAGTCACAGAATACTCTGAGTTGGAAGGGATCCATCAGGATCATTGAGTCTGACTCCTGGCCCTGCACAGGACACCCCAAGAGTTGCACCATGAGCCTCAGTTCATTGTCCAAACACTCTGTGGTGGTCACAGCACCAAGCTCTGTCACGCTTGGTGCTGTGACCACTTCCCTGGAGAGCCTGTTCCTCTGGGCAAAGAACCTTTTAATGATATCCAAATTTAACTGCTCCTAGCTCAATTTCAGGCCATTCCCTCAGGTCCTGTTGCTGTTCAGCACAAAGCAGAGACCAGTGCCCTCCCCTCCTCTTCAGTTGCAGACTGCCATGTGGTGTCTCCTCAGTCTCCTCCAGGCTGAACAGACCAAGTGACCTCAGTGACTCCTCACACAGCTTCCCCTGCAGACCCTTCACCATCCTTGTTGGCCTCCTTTGGACACTCTCTAATGATTTAATGTCTTTTTTATGTTCTGGTGCCCCAAACTGCACTCAGCACTTGAGGTGAGGCCACTCCAGGGTAGAGCAGAGCAGGACAATCGTCCCCTTTAACTGGCTGACAATGCTTGTGCATTTACATCTGAGCTGCTATTTATGCATTTTTCCTTTCTATTATATCCATACCAGAGCTTATTATACCATCAATTTCTTTTTCCATTGCCTTCCTTCTCTTATCTCAGTAAATCGGAATAAATTTTCCTTTATCCAAATTCATCAAATAATTTTATCATCACTAGTTGGGACAGTAGATGCATGAGTAAAGGCCAAAACCAGCCTTCAGAGTCAGAGAGCAGCCTGAGAGATTAAATATTTATTTCCTCTACTAGGATTGAAAATAAGACAAGTAAATTGCAGAAATTGCCTAGAACAACAATGTATTTTTAAAAACCTGAGCAGTTTAACTATATGACCCCTGCAGCAAAGAATGCCATAGGTAGCACAAACAATTTCCCTCTGTTAAACTTTCATAAGAGTTCCTTCTGGAGCTTTTCAGTTTGTATTGTTGCTTTTTCTTCTCCTCTGACCACTTACAGCTGCTGCTCTTTTTACACCTGTGGTCATTTTAAGTCTCAGGTCTACCTATTTCTATGATAGGTATTTAGATAGTCCATTACTACAGGCTTAGAAAAAAGCATTAAGCAAAAAGGAATCTTTATTGAGGAAATGTTATCAATGTTGGCAAAAATTCTGTTACTAAAAAGAAATGTCTTTGAGGACAGAAAGAGATTAAACCTAGGCAGCAATATCTTCCTCGTTTCCTGAGAAACCTTGCCAGCTCAGCAGCAGCAGTGAACAGCTGTCATTAAAAAGGAGGGAGGGAAAGAGCTGCCCCTGCAATTAGGGCAGTCTCTGTTCTGGGCAGGATGCACAGGAGAGAAAAGGATCCCACAGAGCCAGCTACAGGGCCAGCCTGACAGATCCATGTACTCAAGGGGCTACTTCTAAGCAAAGAATCATAAGCAGGCTCTCAGAGAGGGCCTCAGTGCTCCCCTCCTCAACATAAAGTCCTGGCCAGTTTAATCAACAGCAATTTCAGACACTAATGTGCTTCTTGGGGTCTCTCCAGGAGCTAATTAAAAAAAGCATTAGTGGGATTAATGACAAATACTGTTCATCATCAGTAGCAGAGAGGGAGAAACAAAAGCTTTTTTTATATGATCTATCCAAGTGCCTATCAAGGTGTCAGTCTCAGGAACATGAGAATAGTCTTAACGGCCAAAGAGTTTCAAGAGGTGTATTAAACCTGAAAGAAAAGTAGAAGATTGAGAACAAATATTCATGGCATCTTCTGAAATTTTTAAGCTCTAAGCTAGGCTTTTTACATAACTAGAATTAATTAGAATCAAGCTGAAAGCAAAGAAGGCTAGGATTTCTCTACTCTGAGTTAAAAGCACTGCATTTCTA